AGCACGACCTCACCACAGCACGACCACACCCCAGCACGACCACGCCCCAGCACGACCACGCCCCAGCATGACCACGCCCCAGCACAACCACCCCCCAGCACGACCACCCCCCCAGCACGACCACACCCCAGCACGACCACCCCCCAGCACGACCACACCCCAGCACGACCACTCCCCAGCACGACCACACCGCCTTGGTTGAGTGGTTGCCTGTCGACGTGGAATGTTTCGTGGGGTGTCTCGTGGAATGTTTCGCGGGGTGTCTCCCTGGAATGTTTCGTGAGGTGTCTCGCGGATGTTTCGTGAGTGTTCCTCGTGGATGTTCGTGAGGTGTCTCAGTGTGGTCTGTTTTTCGTGAGGTGTTGTCCCCCGTGTGGGATATCGTGCAAAACGTGCCCATGCTTCCACTTCTATATCCTTTCCGGGTTCGTGGTCCATCATGTTGAAATCCCGATCGATAAATCACAGGGTGCGGGCCACTTTTTCGTGTGTTGAGGATGTCTCGAGCGAAACGCTTGCTCCGCAGAGTTTGCCGAGGATGTCTCGAGCGAAACGCTTGTTTTGCAGAGCCGACCGCGACGCGAAAAAGCGCCCCGCGCGAAGGAATTTCGATGATGTCTCGACTAATTCCTTTGTTTTTGTACGATTTCCTGGAATTTGGGCAGGATGTCTCGAGCGAAATGCACGACCCCACCCTAGCACGACCATACCCCAGCACGACCACACCCCAGCACGACCAGACCCCAGCACGACCCCACCCCAGCACGACCCCACCCCAGCACGACCATACCCCCGCACGACCACACCCCAGCACGACCCGACCCCAGCACGACCCTACCCCAGCAAGACCACACCCCAGCACGACCACACCCCAGCACGACCTCACCACAGCACGACCACACCCCAGCACGACCACGCCAGCACGACCACGCCCCAGCACGACCACGCCCCAGCACGACCACCCCCCAGCACGACCACCCCCCCACACCCATCAGACACTCCACTGGAAAAGCATCGACAGCACGACCACTCCCCAGCACGACCACGCCCCAGCCGACCACCCCCACCAGCACGACCACCCCCCCAGCACGACCCGCCCCCAGCACGACCACTCCCCAGCACAACGACACACCCCAGCACGACACTCCCCATCACGACCACACCGCCTTGGTTTAGTGGTTGCACTGTCGTCGTGGAATGTTTTCGTGGGGTGTCCGTGGAAATGTTTCGCGTTGGTCTCGTGAAATGTTTCGTGTGGTGTCTCGTGGAATGTTTCGTGAGGTGTCTCGTGGTATGTTTCGTGAGGTGTCTCGTGGGATGTTTCGTGAGGTGTTGCCCCGTTGGGTATCGTGAAAACGTGCCCATGCTCCACATGTCTATATCCCTTTCCGGGTTCGTGGGTCCATCATGTTTTTGTACGATTTCCTGGAATTTTGGCAGGATGTCTCGAGCGAAATGCACGACCCCACCCTAGCACGACCATACCCCAGCACGACCACACCCCAGCACGACCACACCCCAGCACGACCCCACCCCAGCACTACCCCACCCTAGCACGACCACACCCCAGCACGACCACACCCCAGCACGACCACACCCCAGCACGACCCCACCCCAGCACGACCCCACCACAGCACGACCACACCCCAGCACGAACTCACCACAGCACGACCACACCCCAGCACGACACGCCCCCACGACCCACGCCCCAGCACGACCACGCCCCCAGCACGACCACCCCCCAGCACGACCACCCCCCCCAGCACAACCACCCCCCACACACCACCCCCCATGCACGACCACACCCAGCAACGACAACTCCCAGCACGACCACTACCCAGCACGACCACACCCCAGCACGACACACTCCAGCACGACCCACACCCCAGCACGACCCACCCCACAACGACCCCACCCAGCACTACACCCACCCTTAGCAGAACCACAACCCCAGCACGACCACACCGCCACACACTCACACAGCACGCTCACACGCCCAGCACGACCACGCCCCAGCACGACCCGCACGCCCCAGCACGACCAACGCCCCAGCAACAAACACCCCCCAGCACTACCACCCCCCCACCACGCCACACCCAGCAACGACACCCCCCAGCACGACGCACACCCCAGCACGACCACTCCCCAGCACGACCATACCGCCTTGGTTGAGTGGTTGCCTGTCGTCGTGGAATGTTTCGTGGGGTGTCTCGTGAATGTTTCGCGGGGTGTCTCGTGGAATGTTTCGTGAGGTGTCTCGCGGAAAGTTTCGTGAGGTGTCTCGTGGGATGTTTCGTGAGGTGTCTCGTGGGATGTTTCGTGAGGTGTTGCCCCGTTGGGTATCGTGAAAACGTGCCCATGCTCCACATGTCTATATCCCTTTCCGGGTTCGTGGGTCCATCATGTTTCCCGGAAAGGGCGTGGGCCCAGGGTTCTCTTTTAGTATGTAAACATGTCCCCGGTGCCCAACTTGAAGGAGGCCGGCGAAATTATTCCCTGATAAATATCGAGGTCGAAGGAGGCCGGCGAATTAAAATTTGAGGATGTCTCAGGCGAAACGCTTGTTTTTGAAATCCCGATCGATAAATCACAGGGTGCGGGCCACTTTTTCGTGCGTTGAGGATGTCTCGAGCGAAACGCTTGCTCCGCAGAGTTTGCCGAGGATGTCTCGAGCGCTTGTTTTGTTACGTAGGCAACCTCAGCACGACCACATCCCAGCACGACCACACCCAAGCACGACCACGCCCCAGCACGACCACGCCCCAGCACGACCACACCCCAGCACGACCACACCCCAGCACGACCACACCCCAGCACGACCACACCCCAGCACGACCACACCCCAGCACGACCCGATCGATAAATCACAGGGTGCGGAGCACCCCAGCACGAACCCACCCCAGCACGACCCCACCCCAGCACGACCCCACCCCAGCACGACCACGCCCCAGCACGACCACACCCCAGCACGACCACCCCCCAGCACGACCACTCCCCAGCACGACCCCACCCCAGCACGACCCCACCCTAGCACGACCACACCCCAGCATAGACCACACCCACACGGAGAACACACCCCAAGCACGAACCCCACCCCCCAGCCGACACCCACCTCAGCACGAAACCCCCCAGCAACGACCACACTCCAGCACGACCCCACCCTAGGCACGACCACCCCCCAACGACCTCTAATCACGCTCGACCACAACCCAAGCACGACCTCTCCACAGCACGACCACTCCCCTGCTCGACACGTCCCCTGCTCGACACGACCCCAGGCTGACCACGACACCTGCTCGTACTCCCCCAGCACGACCACCCCCCTAGCACGACCACACCCCAGCACGACCACACCCCAGCACGACCACACCCCAGCACGACCACACCCCAACACGACCTTACTCCAGCACGACCACACCCCAGCACGACCACACCCAGTCGCACCCCCGTGGAATGTTTCGTGGGGTGTCTGGTTGAGTGGTTGCCTGTTCGTGGGGTGTCTCGTGGAATGTTTCACGGGGTGTCTCGTGGTATGTTTCGTGAGGTGTCTCGTGGGTTGTTTCGTGAGGTGTCTCCTGGGATGTTTCGCGGGGTGTCTCGTGGGATGTTTCGTGAGGTGTTGCCCCGTTGGGTATCGTGAAAACGTGCCCATGCTCCACATGTCTATATCCCTTTCCGGGTTCGTGGGTCCATCATGTTTCTGCTCTGGAGAAGGAGTGGCGCCTTTGGGCAGCTTCCGCGATGTGGATTCGTAGCGTGGGGGAGGCTGATTGTTTCGCGCGCGAATTTGGTGGTTAATTTGCTGGGGATCGATGGTCTCGGGGACGGCGAAATGTGTGTAATTTGCGATGGGTCGTGAGCCCTGGGGGGCGCGACAGGCCGGCGTAATTACAAGGGATCGATTGCCTCGGGGACGCTTTAGTGTGCGTAATTCACGCGGGATCGTGGCCTCGGGGGTGCAAATGTGGCGTAACTTACGAAGGATCGTGGCCTGGGGGGGGTGAATGTGGAACCCACCGCCGAATTTTCTGGAAACGGGAGGGGGGGGGCAAAAGAATACCAGCGGAGCACATATCCCAATACAGAAAATGTCAGTTTTTCTGCTTTGGAAAGGGGGAGCACCTTTTCGGCAGCCTCCGCAAGGCGGATTCGTGGCCTCGGGGGCGCGCCCGCTGCGTAATTTACTAGGGATCGTGGCGTCAGGGGCGCGAATTTGTTGTAAATTACATGGGATCGTGGCTTCGGGGGCGCGAATGTGGTGTAATTTACAAGGGATCGTGGCCTCGAGGGCGCGAATGTGGAGTAATTTACAAGGGATCGTGGCCTCGGAGACGCAAATGTGGTGTAAATAACTAGGGATCGTGGCCTCGGAGACGCGAACGTGGCGTAGTTTACAAAGGATCGTGGCCTCGGGGGCGCGAATACAAGGTAATTTGCGAGGGATTCTGGCTTGGGGGGCACGAAACGCTTGTATTTTTACGTGTCCCACGCTCCCCCAGAAATTCTGAGAACCCTCCTGGGGGACGCTAACCGGGGCCCTTTTCGGCTCCCCCCCCTCGGGCGGACAGTAACAATTTACAGTAGGAAGCAGAAAGCAGTACTGTAACAATGGAAATTGGAACTGGTGCAGGGAGCAGCAACCTTAATCCTCGCAGCCAGATGGCCCCGCAAGGGGGCCGGCGGATCCCGAGCCCTTCCTTCCTATTCATTGGTCTTTGTGCCTTCTCGATTCGCCTCTGCGCCTTCATCCCCCCCCCGCTGGATTGTGTCGATGCACGCCTCCGCGCACTCCCCCGGCCGATCCGATGCCCTTCGGCCCACCAGTTGGGTCGCGGCTTCGACTCGACTCGATGCGGTTCGACTCGCCGGCATCGACCAGGCCCCGCCAGAGTCGGGCGCTGCGACCCGAGCCCTTCCCGATCTGAGGCCGCCTCGCGGGTCGGTTAAGCTCTGGCGCCTGCCGGGTCCGACCGACCCCCTCCCCCCCCCCCCGGGCGGCAGGCGCCCCCGCCAGGGAGCCGTGGCGCGCGTGGGCGGACCCGGCGGCGGACGGCGGCGAGGCCTCCGGGCCAGCCGGGGGGGCGTTAGTCAGGAGGGGAAAAAACACACAGAGACACAATGAATCGTCGATCCCCAGGAAAATATGAGAACATATGGGAAGTGGGGGCGAGGACAAAAACCAAGAAAGTATGGGAACATATGGGGAATCATTTTATTTGTGTGTATTTATTTGTGTGTCCCAGGGCTCCTTCAGTCAGGGGGAAGGGGTCGGGGCTCAAGGGACGGGGGTCGGTGCAGACGGGGGTCAGTCAGGGCGCGGGATCTGGCAGGATCTTGCAGGGCCAGGGTGCACTGACCCGGGCTTGGGTGTAGGATCCTGCAGGATCTTGCAGCGCTCGACCGACCCAGGTCTGGCTTGACCCGGGTCTGGCTCGACCGTGCCAGTAGATCCCCGAGAGGAGGGGGCGGCGGGCGGAGGTGTGCGACGCAGGCCGGCCTCGGTGCTGGCCTGCGCGCGCCGTTGGGCGCACGGGACACGGCCCCTCGCCCGTGAAGAGGGCCAGAATTCTCGCCTCCCGCTCTCTTCCACGGCGCCTGCCAGGGGAAGAGACATCGTCGCGTGCTCTCCTGCCACTGACGCTGCACCCGCCTCCTCCCTCCCTCCCTCTCCCTCCCCCCCCGCCCTCATCCTCTACATTTCTCCCCAGCTCCCTCCCCACTTCCTCCCCCGCCGTCCTGCTCCTCCTCCTCGTCCTCATCCGCCGTCCTCCTGCTGCTGCGCACTGCTATGAAGCAGCCCCACGGCAACTGCCGCATCGCCAGGGCTCCGGGCCCCGCCCTGCGGCCGCTGCCGTTCGGACGTTTGTCTCGCACGCGCCGGTCCATAGGGTGCAGCCGATGATGTGGATCCTCGCGCCGGCGCGGTTGCCCACATCAGCGACTCGGCAGCACCTTTCCCACCACCTGACTCGGATCCTGCGGCCCGCGGAGGAGGAGGAGGAGGAGGAGGAGGAGGAGGAGGAGGAGGAGGAGGAGGGGGAGGAGGAGGCGGGGGAGGAGGAGGAGGAGGGGGAGGAGGAGGAGGCGGAGGGAGGAGGCGGGGGAGGAGGAGGAGGAGGAGGAGGAGGAGGGGGAGGAGGAGGGGAAGGAGGAAGAGGAGGAGGAGGAGGAGGAGGGGGAGGAGGAGAGGAGGAGGAGGAGGAGCGGAGAGGAGGCGGAGGAGGGGGAGGAGGAGGAGGAGGATGGAGGATGTGGAGAAGAGGAGGCGGAGGAGGAGGAGGAGGAGGAGGAGGAGGAGGAGGAGGAGGAGGACGGAAGGGAGGGGCAGGAGGAGGTGGAGGTGGAGGAGGAGGACGAGGAGGAGGAGGACGAGGAGGAGGAGGTGGAGGAGGAGAGGCGGAGGAGGAAAAGGAGGAGGGGGAGGAGAGCTCCGCCTCGGCGAGGTGGACCATAAGGCCTTCTTGGCCTCCCCGCGGGAGGAACTGTGCATTAGCCCGTGCTCGAACGACCTGCCGTAGCCTTTGCCGTCCTCGGTGTGCACTCTGCAGAATGGAACGTTGCCCGCCCGTTTGGTGTGGTCTTTGAGCATGCGCTAGTCCACGTAAGGGCGGGCCCCTACGTGGAACGATTGTCCCTCGCCTGCAACTCGGCGGCGAGCCCAGGGGGGAAGAGAGAAGGGGCGGGCCTTCTCAGAAGGCACGGAAGTCGCCTGGCCTTCTGAGAAGTTTTCTAAGCCTGCCCCGAATACACAGAACACTTATCAGAAGGCGCGAGGGTTTCTGAGAAGTCCCGCCGCCTTCTGAGAAGGCCTTCTCCTCATTTTCCTCCTCGCTCGCCGCCGAGTAACTTATGACGTCTCTAAGCTCTCCTCCTCTGTCTCATCCAGCGTCATCGCTTCACTGTCCTTCGCCGACTCGTGGCTCTCCGGCCCGGGTTCCTCGTCGCTCTTTCCTCGACCTCCTCGCTGCCATCGAGCGGAGTCTGCGCCATTACATCTTCCTTGCATGAGTGTCAGAAGAACTGGAAAGATCTCTGGGAGGATGCTCTGAAGTCTACGGGCAAATTTGTTGCCGATCTTCAATGACGTGCTCCAGAGAGACGTGCGGGCCTTCGAGTCTCCTTATCTACTCGACTCCTTGCTGTTGCGCGGTCTGCCGCCTTGATGGCACGATGCTTGGCGGCAGAGCGCTGCGCTCGGGAACGTTTCAAGCAGCTAGATCTGGAGCGAAAGAAGGACGTACACGTACATGTGTCCACGCTGGTTTCGAGAGCCCGCAATTTGCGAATGTTCGTGTCACGTGGCCGGTCTCGCGGATCGAGGGACCGTGTTCATGTACACAGTTGGGCGCGTACTTCCTTTGAGGGCCCCCTACACGCCGGTCGTTGAAAGTAGGTATTTTTGGATTCCCAGATCCCAATCTACTTCAAGCGCCTTCCTACTTCAAGCATCGGCTTGCTTTTGCTGTGTTTTGTAATTCCCTGGGGGGGCCTGGACCCAACCCACTTTATCCGCCTTCCTACTTCATGTTTTTACCTACTTCTTCCGACCGACGTGTACTAGGAGCAGCCGCTTCCCTGCCCATCCCGGCGCCGTTGTTCGGGTCGATGCCGACTGGGCGCCCAGGGCCGGCCCGCCGCGCGGCGGCTTCCCGGCTCGGCGGGGGAGCCGAGCCTCGGGCCCCCGATGGCCTCGGGCCAGGATGGCTTGAGCCAAGAGGGCTACGGATCCTCGTCGTCCTCCTCCTCCTCCTCCTCCGCCTCCTCCTCCTCCTCCTCCTCCTGTTCTCCTTCTTCTCCTCCCCCCTCACCGCCGAGGGGCCGGCGCCGCCTGCACCAGCGGGGGCCTCCCAGGCCGTGCCCGAGAGGGCGCCTCTGGGCGACCGCACGAACCGCGGAGGCCCCGCGCTCACGCTCTCTGGCGCCCGCTGGAGGTCGAGGAGGCATGCGAGGGAAGCGACGAGTGGGACTTTGGGTGGTGGTGGTGAGGGTGGTGGTGGAGGTGGTGATGGTCATAGTGGTCCCCAGGGTTTGGGAGAGCCATGATCAGGATAGGAATGCTTGTGGGGGTGTTGGGGATGATGGTGGGCATGATGATGGTGGTGATGACGATGATGATGATGCTGATGATGATGCTGCTGATGATGATGATGCTGATGATGTTGATGTTTACGATGATGATAATGATGATGATGATGATGATGATGATGATGATGATGATGATGATGATGATGATGCTGATGATGATGATGATGATGATGATGATGATGATGATGATGGTGGTGGTTGTGGTTGTGGTGGTGATGTTGATGATGGTGGTACTGGTGAGGATGGTGGTGATGATGATGTTGCTGCTGGTGCTGGTGCTGATGCTGATGACTTGCAGAAGGAGGAGGAGGAGGGGGAGGGGGAGGGGGATCACGAGGAATGCAGTCTCACAGTGCATCTTTCGTCGAGTTTTTTTGTGAAGAGCTCTCATGGAGCTCGTGTGGGCCGTCTTCGGGCTGTCTTGGTCATTCAGTTGCACCATGCAGCTCAACATAGCATCATCATGCACAGCCATGTTTGATTCGAGGAATCCTTGTTAAGAAATCCTTAGTAAGGAGTTCTTATTCATGGATCTGTATTGAGAAATCCTTAGTAAGGAATCGCTAGTAAGGAATCCTTTTTAAGGAGTCTTCATTAAGGATTCCTTAGTAAGGAATCTTTACTCAGGAATCTTTATCAAGGAAGCCTCTCTAAGGAATCCTCACTAAGGAATACTCACTAAGGAATCCTTATTAAGGAATCATGATCAAGGAGCCCCTGGAGAGGAATCTTTATTCAGGAGTTCTTAGTAATGATTCCTTATGGGGAATCTTTGGTACGGAATATGTATTAAGGGATCCTTACAATGGAGTCCTTGTTTGGGAATCTTTATCAACAACTTGAAAGTCAGGAATCCTTAGCAATGATCTTTATCCAGGAATCCTAAGTTAGGATCTTTAGGAAGGAAAGAGCGCGTTCAGTGGTCGCTTGAAGGGGGGGAGGGGGGTTTGGAACCAGACCCCCCCCCCCCTGGACCCCCCTCCCCCCCTCCTCCCCACGTCTCCTCTCTCCCCCTCCTCGGGCCGGCGCCTGCATCGGCGGCGGCGGGGACCACGACTTCATTTTTTGGGCCGGCGCCAGTGCCTGCGGCGGCGGGCGGCGGCGGCGGGGAGCGTCGACGAGGACGACGGTGGTGGTGATGGTGGGTTGTGGTGATTGTGGTGGCGGTGGTGGTGGTTGTGGGGGTGGTGGTGTGGTGGTTTGTTGTGGTGGTGGTGGTAGTGGTGGTGGGTGGCGGTTGTGGTGATGGTGGTGGTTTGGTGGTGGTGTGGTGGTGGTTGGTGGTGGTGGTGGGTTGTGGTTGGGTGGTGGTGGTGGTGGTTTGGTGGTGGTGTGGTGGTGGATTGTGGTGATGGTGGTGGTGGTGGTAGGGGTGGTGAGTTGTGGTGGTGGCGGTGGTTTGTGGAGGCGGTGCTGGTGGTGGTGGTCGTGGTGGTGGTGGTGGTGGTTTGTGATGGTGGTGGTGGTGGTGGGTTGTGCTGCTGGTCGTAGAGGTGGTTGTGGCGGTGGTGGTGGTGGTGTGGTAGATTGGTGGTGGTGGTGGTAGTGGTGGTGGGTTTTTCCCCATATCCTAAGATGGGGTTCTTGTTATTCCCCATATCCAAAGATGGGGTTCTTGTTATTGGCGGACCGCGCCGGAAGGACACAGAACAGGACAGGACACCACACCCATCACTCAGAATCACTCATCAAGACTCACTCATCACTCAGACTCAGTCCTCACTCAGACACCACTCATCACTCAGACTCACCACTCAGATTCACTCATCACTCAGACTCACTCATGCTCTCTCATCACTCAGACTCAGTCATCACTCAGACTCAGGCGATTCGCTCGTCTCAGCAATCTAAGGGGGGCGGCGGGGGGGTATTTCACGGGGTCCCGTTCGCGGAATTTTGTGGGGATGTCTCAGGCGGTTTGGCCATTTTCTGATCCAACATGTTTCGTTTTCGGAGCAGATTTGGAGGATGTCTCAGGCGATTCGCTCGTCTCAGCACTCTAAGGGGGGCGGCGGGGGGGTATTTCACGGGGTCCCGTTCGCGGAATTTTGTGGGGATGTCTCGAGCGGTTTGCCTGTTTTCTGTGCCAACATCCTTCGCTTTCGGAGCAGATTTGGAGGATGTCTCGAGCGAGGCGCTCATTTTCACCCCCCAGGTGGGCCAGATTTTGAGGATGTCTCGATCGGTTTGCTTGTTTTGGTGGCCAGGCTCGTGGCCCTAAGGGGAGCCGCCAGGGGTGGTTGCACGGGCTCGTTCGCGGCCATTTTGTGGGGATGTCTCAGGCGGTTTGCTTGTTTCTGTGCCCAACATCCTTCGCTTTCGGAGCAGATTTGGAGGATGTCTCGAGCGAGGCGCTCATTTTCACCCCCCAGGTGGGCCAGACTTTGAGGATGTCTCGATCGGTTTGCTTGTTTTGGTGGCCAGGCTCGTGGCCCTAAGGGGAGCCGCCAGGGGTGGTTGCACGGGCTCGTTCGCGGCCATTTTGTGGGGATGTCTCAGGCGGTTTGCCTGTTTCTGTGCCCAACATCCTTCGCTTTCGGAGCAGATTTGGAGGATGTCTCGAGCGAGGCGCTCATTTTCACCCCCCAGGTGGGCCAGATTTTGAGGATGTCTCGATCGGTTTGCCTGTTTTGGTGGCCAGGCTCGTGGGCGCAGATTCTTCTCAGGATGCCACAGGAGGCTCCAACAGGCTCCAGGAGGCCCCAGGAGACCACATGAGGTCCCAGGAGGCATCAGGAGGCCACAGAAAGATTCAAGAGGCCACAGGATGTCCCAAGAGGCTCCAGGAGGCCCCAGGAAGCTCCAGAAGGCCTCCGGAAACCACAGGTGGCCCCAGGAGGCAACAGGAAGTGCCAGGAGGCCTCGGAAGGCAACAGGAGGCCCCGAGAGGCCCCAGGAGCAGGAGGCCTCAGAAGGCAACAGGAGTGGCTCCAATCCCATGTGTTTTACGTATGCTCCTATCGATTGGGCCTCACCTGGAGCACGATTCTTTGATGTTCTACGTATGTTTCTATATATTGTCCTTCTCCTGTGTAAGCAATCCTACTTGTTTTACTTTTGTTCCTATATATTGGGCCTCTCCTGGGGCACGAGTCCTTGGTGTTTTACGTGTGTTCCTGTAGACCCATATACAATATTACCTTTAAAAAAGGATGCACATATGGGGAGCTCCACGCAGTGAGTAATTACTTGGACGCCTCCTACTCCTCCTCCTCCTTCCTCCTCCTCTTTTCTCCTCCCCTCCTGTCGGACTTACTCATACTCAGACTTGCTCATACACAGACTTACTCATACTCAGACTTACTCATACTCAGACCTACTCATACTCAGACTTACTCACACTCAGACATACTCATACACAGACTTACTCATACACAGACTTACTCACACCCAGACGTACTCATACACAGACTCACTCATACCCAGACTTACTCATACACAGTATTAGTCATACTCAGACTTACTCATACCCAGACGTACACATACACAGACTTTCTCATACACAGACCTACTCATACCCAGACTTACTCATACACAGACTTACTCATACACAGACTTACTCATACTCAGCACCCCTAAGGGGAGCCGCCAGGGGTGGTTGCACGGGCTCGTTCGCGGCCATTTTGTGGGGATGTCTCAGGCGGTTTGCCTGTTTCTGTGCCCAACATCCTTCGCTTTCGGAGCAGATTTGGAGGATGTCTCGAGCGAGGCGCTCATTTCAGCACCCCTAAGGGGAGCCGCCAGGGGTGGTTGCACGGGCTCGTTCGCGGCCATTTTGTGGGGATGTCTCAGGCGGTTTGCCTGTTTCTGTGCCCAACATCCTTCGCTTTCGGAGCAGATTTGGAGGATGTCTCGAGCGAGGCGCTCATTTCAGCACCCCTAAGGGGAGCCGCCAGGGGTGGTTGCACGGGCTCGTTCGCGGCCATTTTGTGGGGATGTCTCAGGCGGTTTGCCTGTTTCTGTGCCCAACATCCTTCGCTTTCGGAGCAGATTTGGAGGATGTCTCGAGCGAGGCGCTCATTTCAGCACCCCTAAGGGGAGCCGCCAGGGGTGGTTGCACGGGCTCGTTCGCGGCCATTTTGTGGGGATGTCTCAGGCGGTTTGCCTGTTTCTGTGCCCAACATCCTTCGCTTTCGGAGCAGATTTGGAGGATGTCTCGAGCGAGGCGCTCATTTCAGCACCCCTAAGGGGAGCCGCCAGGGGTGGTTGCACGGGCTCGTTCGCGGCCATTTTGTGGGGATGTCTCAGGCGGTTTGCTTGTTTCTGTGCCCAACATCCTTCGCTTTCGGAGCAGATTTGGAGGATGTCTCGAGCGAGGCGCTCATTTTCACCCCCCAGGTGGGCCAGATTTTGAGGATGTCTCGATCGGTTTGCTTGTTTTGGTGGCCAGGCTCGTGGGCGCAGATTCTTCTCAGGATGCCACAGGAGGCTCCAACAGGCTCCAGGAGGCCCCAGGAGACCACATGAGGTCCCAGGAGGCATCAGGAGGCCACAGAAAGACTCAAGAGGCCACAGGATGTCCCAAGAGGCTCCAGGAGGCCCCAGGAAGCTCCAGAAGGCCTCAGGAAACCACAGGAGGCCCCAGGAGGCAACAGGAAGCGCCAGGAGGCCTCGGAAGGCAACAGGAGGCCCCGAGAGGCCCCAGGAGCAGGAGGCCTCAGAAGGCAACAGGAGTGGCTCCAATCCCATGTGTTTTACGTATGCTCCTATCGATTGGGCCTCACCTGGAGCACGATTCTTTGATGTTCTACGTATGTTTCTATAGATGGTCCTTCTCCTGTGTACACAATCCTAAATGTTTTACTCATGTTC